TAATATATTTGTATACAGTTTATACAAAATCTTTACATTACAATGATGTTTCAATTAGTAACTAAAATTGTAATTAATTTCGTTTGATAAGAATTATTTATACGAGTATGTCATATTCATTTCCATATACGAGATTGCTATATTAATTACTAATTCGTGTGAAATAACTGATAGTAAAATAACTAATTTCAATATATCGCTCTCTTATTTTAAAAGTGATACAACTAAGAAAACGTGATTTTCGAGTTATTATTACGAATAAGTATAAAGTAAATATTACCCTATCACACACACACACACACACACAATCAACAAAAGCGAATTAACTCAACTTCATAAAAAATTATCAAAATTATCAAAAAGGATGGTTTTAAAAAATCGTCACAACTTATATAAAAATTGATTTTTTAAAAGTAGTAAAACAAAAATGAGACATGTAAGCATATTAAAAACATATTCTTTTTGCCGATATTATTTGATTAGTTAATAATTTATTCTGTCGAATAAATTATTGAAAAACAGTCTCCCTTTTTCTGAAAACCTTAATTTTTTTAGGAAATAGGAAATAATGGCCATCACAGTCAAAGCTGAATCTTTTAATGCTTAAATAATTTAATGTCAATTTGTATATAATATATATGTACAAACATATATATCATATTTGTAGCCATTTGAATTGCGCGCCGAAATTTTATCGGACTTAATAATGCATCTAAACTACTGAAATAATTACACAATTAAATTTTGATCTCAATAGGCATCTATTAAAAAGATCTTGATATTCTGGAAATTTGTAAATAAATTTGTTTATTTGCGAAAAATACCATTACGGTCGTTATGGTCATTATTTCCTATTTATTAAGCTTTTAAATGTACGATCCAATAAGATTCTTATTGTTTAATTTTTTTTAATTATCACTTTTGAAGTAAAGGAGAGATATGTTGAAAAAAAGAGATAATTTCGAACGAATCTCAGGTTTTAATAAAATTAGACATTTTAACTACATGTTGTACGCCAATCACGCCTTGTATACATTATGTAAAAAAAGATAATAACTCATAGAATTAAATATGTGTAAGCTGATAGTTGATAACTGATAGCTGATAGTACATAGTAGCATCGATGATGCGCGTCTAGAATAGACACGCGGTCACCTGAACGTGCCGCAAATTCTAATCCTATTAGGGTAAAGTCTAGTTCGAACCTAAAACGGAATTATCGGCTACCCGGGTCTAATACCGTAATTGCCATATATATCCCTAGATTATAATGTGATCGCTGACAAGTTTCCGCCATGATAATTTAAGCGAGTAATTCTCAACAGATATATGTGGAGTCTTAAACTTAACAATGCAGGCTTTAAATGGAGATAGAATTGTATCACAGTAGCCAACTATAGCTATCATTTGAGACCCATATGAAGTATCCTACGTCTCTTTTTACAGTCAAAACTAATGTACAGCAATACACTGAACGCTGCCAACTTCTATTTATCTCGCAATGTCTATATAAAAATCGACTTGAATCCTTTGCCAAATGGCAAAGTAATCTGTTTAACAGTGTATAACTTCGATATACATTATTTATAGCGTTTCACTGCATTTGCATATTTTTTAATAACTTACGACGTTTCAGTACTTGAATAATCTCTATAAAGTCACGAAAAAGACAACTGAATCAAAATAATTTTTTTCCTTCGTTCACAGAATGAAATGTAGTTATTACTACTATTGATCCTCTTTTTTATCGTTTTTAATTTCGAATATCCTGGTAGTCTTCGTACTCTACCTCGATACATGATTACACACGTACATTAATCGCATCGCAAATTATTTATGGAAAATAGAACGGGGAACAAATCGCACCAATTTTCTACTCAAAGCTTTATTACGTCACGTACTAGTTCGCATACGGCACTTAATAGTTAATTTTAAAATAATTCGATGATAGCCGAAAGTTATTTTTAACATAATTTTCTGACTCATGCGACAGTCGAATGCGATGTAAGTCCCGCGCAAACGCGCGCGATATAAAATAGCGTAGTATATAAATAATATTGGATAAATAAATCTTTTTACAAAGAGCTTTTCAACATATAAAAATAAAAATACATAAAACAGAACGAATAATACTAATTTCATAAATGCAATGAAAAATGAGATGTGAATTAAGGAAGCATTGCAATATTAAGCAAAGAGCAAAGAACAAAAGAAATATATCGATATCACATTTGTCTTCATTATTTAACGACATAAATGCACTTATGCATTTATGGCACTCATTACATTCATCCGCTCTACCCTAGCAGGCCACTTAAATGTGACAGGACAATTCCGATCGACTTTGAAACAGCGATCGAATTTAAACCTCTGGCGCATTAATAATTTCGCAGCACGATTATCGTTAAGGCGTTAGTTACATGTAAAATGTAACCGCGCGTGCAGCGAGTGTGTGAACCAAAATGAACAAGATGCATTTAATAATTGAGCTATTTAATTTAGCTCACGATTTATGGAAAATAATTAATGTTATCCGGAATAAAGGTTGTTCTCATGTTTTAAAAATATATTTCCCCCTTAGAATTTAAATTGCATTTTTCATGTACCAATTTGATAAGTTCCTATATCTTTGTTTTCAGTTAGGAAAGTATTTTAATTATTAGAATTATTTCTATTCTGTGTAATTTAATATTAATAATAAGAAGAAAAAAATTGAAATGATTAACGGAGAAAAATGGCATCATCGGTAGTTTTAGTGTTAATTGATATTGTTCATTGCAAAAACTTCGCTGAATATAATCCCATGCGGATAAGTACGTATATTGTTTCAAAAGCCGGACGTCCGAAATGCGTTAGTTACAGATAAAACAATGCTCTTGCTTGTAATCATGCTACTATTATTCAATTGTTTCAATCTCTTCGTTATCTGTCAGCCTGACAAAATGAATAATTTAATAAATATATATAACAGCGCTCGTGTTTCATTCATTTATTCAGAATATTCGTGAGATAGATTTAGTATATCTAGCATGACAGCTGAATTCGTACACATATAACAATGAGCCAAAGGGCTATTATTTTATTGTATAATTGCAAGATCAAATATTCATATTGTAAGACACATTTTCATTAAAAAATCGTAACTATAAACTCAACAACCGTAATAAATACACGCAAAAGTTATTAATAATCACTTTCGTAAACATCGCAATCGAAATTATTTTGTATTTTTCGATGAAAAATGAATAATTTAATCATGATTATAAATCGATTAAAAATATATATGTATATTACTGCAATAGTAATAACATGAAATACAAAAGTTATTGTTAAAACCTATCGTATAATTATAAGATCGAATACTTAGGATTAAGAAAACATTTTTTAAAAATTGTTAAAAAATCATGGGCTAAAAGTTCATCGATCGTAAAAAATACGTTCGGGCAAAAACATAATTATTACAATATAAAAATTAATAATCATTTTTTCGCAAACATCGCGATCGACATTATTCGCCGATGGAAAAAATCGTCGAACAAGTAATCATAAGTGGAAAATCGATGTATAAATAATAAATAAGCGAAGAAGAGAAGGCTTTATTCGATCAAAGTGTACGAATATCGGTGCCTAATAATATTTATCATAACATTAATAATAATTATCAAATAAAAATATAGATATATTATGGCATTATTAATCACATTAACCCTATATCACTCGCGTGAGATGTTTCTAACATTCCATGCAACATTACATCTTAATTTTTTGTTCTCTTTGATGATTTAAAATTAAATAAAGATTGATAATATTCTACAGCCCTTTTAAATAAAGATAGATGCAAAATTTTTTCGAATTGTCAAACAATTTGCGCTAAATATAATAATGTATATAAATAGCATTCATACATTTGACAAATTTATGAGACTAAGATGTTCTGGATATCTCACGCAAATAATAAAAAGTTAATTATAAATACAATAATAAACGATTTATTAGGACCATATAATGTGAACATACAATAACTAAGAAATAATGCCTATATCGGTCAAAACTGGATCTTGACCGCTTTAAATAATTTAAATAATCTGTGAATTTACGTACCACAATTGTAATCTTTCGAATTGCGCGCCGAATTGGTTTTTCGAACTAAGAAACGCAACTGAGAGAGAGCTACTATAGTAATCATCAATTACTTAATTAATAGTAATATCACAAATTAAATTGACGAGCAATGTAATAATTTGATGCTCAATTGGTGTTATTTTAATAAATCGTTTATTATTATTTATACACGCTGCCTGAAAAATGCGTATATTCCTACATATTCGGTTATTGTGAAGAATATTACTAAGACCTCGGTGATCTAATGGTTTAAGACGCTCGCACGGAATGCTAAAAATTCGGGTTTTGCTAAAACTTCCGGCCGAGATAATTTTCGCAATAAATAAATTTATTTACAGATTTCCAGCATACTAAGATCTCTTTGATGGGTGCCTATTGAGCATCAAATTATTAAATTGCTCGTCAATTTAATTTGTGTCAATTTAATTGTAATATTACTATAACATAGTTCAGTTGCGTTTCTATAAAAACGTACTTATAAGTACGAAAAATTAATTCGGCGCGCAATTCGAAAGACTACAAATGTGGTATGTAAATTTATGTAAAATTATTCAAAGTACTCGAGATCCAGCTTCGCGACCGATATAGGCATTATTTCTTAATTAATTATAAGTGCAGTAATTTCTTTGATTGACTTCTTGCTCATTCAGGCTCAGTTTTACAACTCACGGTTAACGCTCAATCGAGGTTCAACTTATTTCTCATCTCTTTCCAATTCTAGCATTAGAAAGAGATGAAGAATAAGTTAAACCTCGGTTAAGAGTTAACCATGAGTCGTGAAACTGGGCTTCAAACACATTTCGAAGGGTTCAAGCCAGTTTGGTTAAAAAACTGAGGGATTTTTCCCCCGATATCCCCAATCAAAACAAGAAGCTTACCTTGACCAGGGGCGGACTGTGCGCAGGAGGATGATAGTGCCCCGGCGATGGGCTCGCGGGTGGCCCCGCGCCCCCGGGCGAAATGGCACTGCCTCCGGGGGTGAGAATCCTGGACTCGTAGCTGAACAACACCTTCCCGATCTCTTCCGCACCTCCGCGAACCCCCTCTCCCCGCGGTTATCAGCCGGTCGACGGACGCTCTGGAAAGTGCCCGTTTCCGATCTCCAATCGATACGCCGATCCCGCCACTTCCCGCCACACTTTCCCGACCTCGTGTCGTTGTTTCCGACTTTGTTGTCCTTAACCCCGCATGCGTGTTTTCGCAAATCTCGCTACGGGTCGGTACGACTCGCGGGAGATCGCTCCGCGATGTATCTTCCGTGTATCGCGGTGTCAAATCACTGTTCCGCGTTTGACGTTAGGAAACGCAACAATTCGGAAAATACATTCGATGTGCTCTCGCAAAGACGAATTTGACGTTCTACTACTGACGTTACTACTGACAATACGATCACAAGAGTCTCAATCTTGATGGATTCTTGTAAGTTCCGAGCGACGAAACGAGGCAAGACGTCGGACTTCTGCTGGGAGTGACAATCGAGATTCCGTTTCTGTCATGTGGGGACTTGACTATCACACGCGAAATGGAACTTGATGAGAGGGTCACGATATTCTTGCGAGCGACATTGACGGCGAAAGAAAATTATTAGTGTGTCAGTAGGTCAAAACGAAGCGTATCGTAGGGATTCCGATAAACGGCGCGAAGAAACACTCGTAGAAACTGGATGCGTTTCCCGTCTGTTCGAATAACACTTTCGCGTAAGAGGGGAACGGTTGAATTCCTACGTGTTTTTAAGACGTGGATTTCTGCGGGATCCTCTTCAGAGCAACAGCTCAACGGATATTCACGCAACCAAAGTGAAATCCAAGCTCAAATTCTGATGCATCGGTCGAATCGAGTAGAATAGTAGTTAGCTTCTTTTTCTTCTGTCTCTTTTTCCCACTTTCTACAGAAAGGTCAAAGTACCACAAGTCAATTTTTTTGAGTTCAAGGCAGAAGCCTCCACGAGGCCAAGGAGGCAAGATAATCAGCTTCACGTGGTGTTTGATCTTGTCGTTTCTCTTGGATGGACACGCGATGAGCACTGCTACAGGGGACTTCTTTTCTCTCTCTCTCTCTCTCTTTTCTTTCTCTCTTTACCTGCTTCGAATACCGTCACACCAACCGCAAGGCGACAGAATCTCCAAACTGATAGTGCGTCGCGTGACGACGACGTGTCGCGGCCGCGGTGGAGTCGCGGACGACCGACGTTCCGTCGCGGGCCGCACGACGGGAAGCGTGCACGACGATAGGCGGAACCACGCGTGCGCCGAGCACGCGGCGAGGCGTGGTTTACGCACGTCGTGCACCGCTTCCCGTCTCTTTTCATCCGCGCGCTTGCCCTCCGCACCCTCACCGCCGTCGTCGCCTCGCGCGGCCGGCTCGACGCTCCCCGACGATCATCTATCCGCGAACGGCGCGACGCCGGTGCCCTCCGTGTGCCGCCACGTGGTTTTATTGGCCAAATAACGCGTACGACAAACATCCCTACTTTCATCCCTCTCGCCCTCCAGCCCTCCCTGCCACCCCAGCCCGTCCTCCCGCGAGCAGAATCTCTTGTCACCTGCCGGTGTGTCGTAACAACTCTCTTTCTCCCTCCTCCCCGCCCTTCTCTCTCTCTCTCTCACTCGCTCTCACCCTTTTCTCTCACCCCACGCCCTTTCGCGGCTGCACGTAGGCACTTTGCACGAGAAGAGCGGCGATAGTCGTCATGGTGTAAATCGCGTTTATCCCAACCTGTCCTCTTTCCTCCTCGCGAGTCCATGGCGATCCTTTGCAGAACGCGTTAGCCGGTCCTCGTCCTTCGCGCGCGTCACGAGTCCCTCGCGAACGTTGCCACCCTTGAGTCCATTTTTTTTAAACATGATTTTAAACACAATTGAGCACGGATTTAGAATCATAACAATTAGATTCTATAAGCATAATCCTTCATAAGACATAAATAGTTACGGAAAATAATGCGAGAATAATAACAATCTAGAATTTTAATACCTGGGTGTCATGACACACACCTGGTAAAAGGTCTGTTCTTTTTAGCTAAAGTTCTTGCACGGTTCATCTTTTTTTCCTTTTCTCTCTACGTTCGAGAGAAAAAGAGAAAAGATAAACCGTGCAAGAGAAATTCAGCTAAAAAGAACAGGCCTAAGGTTTAAGGCACAAAACCTAACAACACCGAGTGTGGGAATAACTTCAAAAATTCTTTAAATCAAAGATAATATTGATGTAATTTTTCACTGAATTTTCCTACGGGTTTACAAAAGTGAAAATACGAAAGAAATGGATTTTGAGATGTTAATACAATTTTTATTCAGGGATGTTGCTTTAGAATATCGAGGGAAAATTAAAATTTATCGATTAAAAAATAGCTCGCAAATCCGTGTAGCCACTGTCTGATTATACGCGATTCACTTTATGCAGGCTACGCACAGAGTAATTTTGGTTTACATTGCCCATACAAAGTGTATCCTTTCTACAGCTTGATATCGTCTTCCTCTGTTCCATATGTCTTCGTCGATTTTTATGTCAGTATTTTTGTTATGTAATATCTTTTTTTGATAGCTTATCTCAAGTCTTCTACTACTACTACTACTACTATGAAAGAAAAGTGTTGGTATTTGTGATTATAGGTAATTGCATCGTAAAATTAAAATTATGATTAGGATTTTTACAGTTATTATTGCTATAATGTTAATAATAATTATTATGTTTATAATTCCATCAAAAAATATACATATATATAGATGACACCAAAATGGTAATTATAAATTATAGTTAAATTATAATTGCAACCATTTTTTTATCTCAGTATAAGGTTCAGAAAAAGAACATAGAAATAGCAATTACATGTACTATGTACTATGTAATATAGTAATTATGATAATAATGACAATAAACATTATATCTAATAATTATTCATGATAATCATTTTAATCATATAATAATCATTTATTTTTATATAAAACTGATATAGTTGTTATCTATAGCACCACTGAATTTCTTTCTCTTAGTACATATTCAATAATTCGTGAAAATTATGAAATTGTCGTAGGAACTTATATATACTTATAATAAATATGTTACTTGCTCTTTCATAATAAAATGTTGCTATCATTCGAATTGAGAAATTTATAAAAAATATTTGACCGTTTCTTGACGTTTCTTTTTAATTCATTCCATTTTTATTTCACGCCCTACGCAGCGTAATTTTAAGTACAGTTTTAAAGAATGATTAATTACTCCAGTTGTCTTAAAAATTACAAAAATGGCTGTTTAAAAATAAATTCAACGCTAATGGAGAATTACGATGAATTTTCCCGTCATGGACAGCGGAGCGATCTTTTTTTTTTTGAAAGAAGTAAATAAATAATGATATAATACAAAATAAAATAAAATAATAAATGTGTATGCATTCAGATCAAAACGATCTGTATAATTGCAACAGATTAAAATTAATTGAAAATATCGAAATATCTCTCATCAAAATATTCGTAGGTATTATAAATGTGCACTGAGAGAAAAATTTCTGATATTTGTGACTATAATTACATGCTATCGTAATTATGATTATTACTACCACAATGTTAGAAATAACAGGGATTGGAAAGTTAGTTTTTTAAAATAACTAATTATCATTACTCGTTACCGAATCAAAAAAGTAACTATACTTGTAGTTACTGATTTTCAAAAATAACGTGTTACCGTTACTTAAAAAATAACGAATGCTTAGGGTGCATCCAAACTATCGAGCCGAAACTCGAGCCGAAACTCGAGCCGAACCTCGAGCCGCTTGCATTTCGGCTACTTTCATTGTTTTTTGCTGAGCCGCGTAACAAATGTTTATCGTAATGTTTAACGAGGCTTCCACGGGTACTTTCTATACAGAAGCTATGGCGCGTTTTGCGGGTTATCTCCATGTCTAGATCCATTATTAGAATACTAACGTTTCGTGAACATTGCGGTTCACTTTATTAGAGCGAGGAGCACAGTCTGATAGTCCTGATAGGAGGAGGAGAGAGGGGGGCAGAGAGGGTGCAGGAGATATAAAAGGGAAGAAAAGTCGATCAATTTTTGATGACCGGGAGAATGATCTTCTATATTCTATTCATGTTGTAATCATTATACTTCTATTTAGATTATCGGGATGTTTTTGTATATTTCTGCATTTTATTGGAAAGTATGATGTAGTAGTAGCTATTGTAGTCATTTTATTAAACATAGTATTTGGTATCCTGTCTCAATGTTGTGTTCTTATAATGCTGACTGTGTGACATGCCTTAATTTGACATTACGTTGATATTCTTTTATCCGTAGATTGACGCAATGAATTTTATAGTACATGGCATTACATCCGTAAAAACTTAAAGATTAATATTCAGCTTGTGCTTATATTAATGCAGCTTTGTGATCGGTTTTTGGTATTCTTAAGACGTGATGAACCAATCACAGAGCTGCATTAGCATCTTAAGACTTTATACTACACTTAAAACGAAGTAAGAACGAATTGATATATGAATACCGGTCAAAGATTGAAGATTGAACTCATAAAAAAATTATATCATAAATTATAGATTCAACATATAAAAAATAACGATAAAAGTAATTGTAAAATTTCTTAAAGTTACCAAAAAATATAACTATAAAAAGGTAATTCATTATATGTAACGCTATCAGTTATTTTATAACGTTATCAGTTATTAAAAAAAAATAACTATAACGACGTTACAAGTACCGAGTTAATATATGTGTAGTTCTATCAACCAATTAATACATATACTTAGTTGGCAACCGAAAATGACTATAATTATAGTTATTATAATCATAAAAATGGTTGAAATTACCACAAAAAATGATTCAAATAACTATAATTATATAATCATTTTGGGGGAGACAACCATATATTAATACAGTATTTCAATATTAATGTCAAATTATTTTTTTTAAATCAAGCCTCTATATCGCATCACGAACGGCAGGCGAAGCGATAATAGACGTTTCCATTATCCGGGGTAGAAAAAATAATGACACCCGCTCGCCGAAGATTTCCTCCAACCCGTTATTAATGCCACGTAACTACCCGCATACCCGACTACAGCTTTCCATCCCGCTGGTTCTGCGTTACTCGGCCTCCAGGGATGGTCGAGTTGCGACAGGAGGTGAGAGTGGAGAGATGGAAAGAAGAGAAAGAGATATTTTATAAAATTAAGAGAGACAGAATATATATATATATAGATAGGTAGAGAGAGAGGGACAAAGCGACAGGCCAGGTTAGAAGCGTAATCGCGTTATATGGTGACTGGATTACACCGCGCCACGTTTGCGAATTGCATGCGGCGAACACACGTGCATCCCCCTTCGATATAAGTAGTCATCCCGGAACTGACCAGGCCCATTATTTGACATAGAGAAAGGAAGGGTAAGAGGATGCCGCTAAAAATATTCCCCTTATCACTGGCCTCTTTTTTTCTTCTCTTCGTTTATCGCGAAGCGACAGCTTCCCTTCGTGAGGCCGTAAAGTGCGCTGCGAATAGCTCACGCGGTTTCCGCGCGAAGCGCATTAAGCGAATTCCCGTCGTTTCACGCGGCTGAAGCCGCGACAGACGTGGCGAACTTTCGCGGGGGAGGAAAAGGGAATGACGCGTGTCGTAAAAGGGAGGAAAGGAAAAAAAAAGATAGATTGGATACATGGGAGAGACGTAAATGCGTTATTCGTTTAGGTGAAAAATAGATTTCATTCTTGCGAGTTTACAGAGAGCACCGCTTCTATCGCGTTAAATTTTCACGACTGGCCCTTTGACGAATTTGGAAGTCAATTTTTTTTTTCCCCTCGTCGGTGTCGCGATGTCGCGCGAGTGAATTTAGGACCTTGGCAGAAATTAATTAACGCTAACTCTGATCGATTCTGCTCTTGTCGGCAAGGCATGTGTCATGTACTGTTAAATTTATAATATTAAATTATACTCAATTTGAGTAATTTTTAATCATTTCTATAGGTTGCCATTGCTTCAATATATCCGTTAATTTAATTAAAACGATATGGAGTTAAACAATTAACTCAAGAAATATAGATAATGCAACTACAAAAATAAACTGATTTACATTTTGATTAAATATGGACATTGAAAACAAAATGTTATTTAACTCAATGAATCGGGATATATTTCATTACTCCTTTTATATTTAACGATTTGGATTAGAAGAAATATTTTTCAAATGGCTTCAATTATATTTACGACTGAAAGCTATTTCCGATAGGTTTACTGTAAAAGTTTTTTTTTTACCCTCGATCCGCCGCGACGCGACGATAACGTCAAAATTTGTGACATAGTTACTATCATTAGATCTATTGTATAAGACTCATTTAATTTATACTTCCATATAGGGTTTTCTATACAAGATCGGGGCCCAGTGTTGGGCCATTAATTACTGATTGCCACAGTTCAGGTACTGACGCAGTACTGGCTAAGTACTAGATGATAATTTGGGCCTAGTTACTGGCAGATAGTACTGGCTAGATATTTGCCACTACTGACTGACAGAACCTTGGCTGTCAGTTGACAGTTGTAGCGTTGGCTAATGCCCGTGTCACACTACGCATTGGAGATTGAGGATTGCGAATTAAGGATTAGAATTCGACGAATCAGATAATTTTAAGTTTAATCCGTTTTGTTCTAATTGGCTGAATTCTAATCCTCAATTTGCAATTCTCAGTCTCCAATGCGTAGTGTGACACGGGCATAAGCGTTAGTTTCATTGTAACTGCTGGCGACCCTATATAGGCTGTTAAATTCATAATGTCAAATTATACCAAATTTGAGTTACTTTTAATCATTTCTATAAGTTGCCATTGTTCCTACACAATATTGTCATTAATTTAACTAAAACAATGGAGTTAAATAATCAACTCAAGAAAATGTATTGAATTTGATTCAATTTATTATTTACTATTATAAGTGTTAATGTAGATGTTTTTAATGACGATATTTTCTTTTAAACTAATCATAGAAGAGTGAATTTATTTATATATATTTTTACACACATGGAAGTTAAAAATGACAAAATGTTATTTTAACTCAAAGGATTGGGTTACCGATACTTTTTTGATATCTAACAGTGTATGTTAATTAAAAGGCGCTAATTATTTTCAAGGGATTAAAATGACATAACTTGTATAAAAAAGAATGAAAATTAAATATAAATATGTTTAACGAATATTAAGTATATTTTAATAAAAATAATTTAAACCTGCAGATGTAAAGAAAATTGAATTGTTGACATTTTTGACAAAGAGATTTATAATTGAATGAGTCCGCCGCCCGTCAGCTCCGAAGGATAAAAATGAGCGACTTAATTAACGAATCGAATTTTGTTATTCCTTCCTCCATTTTTCTCTGTAATTCTGCATTTTTTTCATTCATCTCGCTCATCGTCCTGTATGAGCAAAGATGAGTAGTTCAAATTAATAAATCGCTTTTTCTTTCCAAGTTGTATTTTTTTTACAACCCAATTTAGCATCTTCGTTGCTTCACACCGGAGCGCTTGCTCTTCCCACTCCTGTTTCTATTTGCAAGAACGACGGTGTTCCTCGCTCGCGGTTAGACGAGCTGCTGCGCGTCTCGAATTCCGGCGACATTGGCGAGCGGGCGGTGCGGAGGTTCGTTTAATAAAATAACCTTGTTATACTAGTCCCATGCTAAGGGGGGGGGGGGGTGGCGGTAGCCTGGATGGCGGAAAGATGAAGCGGACGGTAGCGGGGGAGGCCAAAGAGAGGGCGCGAGAGGATTCGAGACAGAAGAGCAACGCTGGGAAACCGGCGCGGTGGTGTGACGGGCACTGACGTACAGCGCGGGGGTGGCGGGAGAGTGCTGCGCGCCGTCGACGAGAAATGAGGGACGGGGGAGAAACATGGCGGGGGTACTAATACATAAAGTAGCTTAAAGTAGAAAATTGTGGAAGCGTCGTGATGCCTGGTGATTGCGTTACCTCCGAGGCTTTGATTTAAAATGCAACGGGGGGACTGGCACACCGGTGGAGGGAGGAAAGACGCGAGGAGGAGAGAGAGAGAGAGAGAGAGAGAGAGAGAGAGAGAGAGAGAGATCGGGCGGACGGGGGTGTCGGAGAAAACGGGCCACGCGGGGTTGCTGCGAGAGCAAGGGTGTGGACGGCCGGATCTCCTGCCTGGGAGCCATGTTCCTCCTGCGAGGAACGGAAGGGTGCCGGGAAGGAGAGCGACGGGAACGGGGGAGGAAGAAAACGAAGAAGAGTAGAAGGTGGTGGCGGCGGCGGCGGCGGGAGCGGTGGCGGCGACGACGATGATGGTGGTGGTGCCCCACCGACATCGTGGAAGCTTCCACACATCCGCACGAGGAGGGTGCTCGCGGAAGCCGGGGGGCGGGGGAAGAGAGAGTGGAAACGACGGGGGGCAAAATTCTTTCGCGGACGATCCTGCAACGTGCCGCATCGACTGGCAACTTTGGCCTTCCGACTGTCTACTTTGTTGTTGCTCTTTCCATTCTTTCCCCCGTCGCGGTGTCTCGGTACTTCCTTCCTAGTGTCTGCAAAGAGAGAAGCACCTTTATTAGGTCAATCTTTTCAGACCGTTCGCGATCTCTTTTTCTTTTTACGAGAATGAAGACTCTCCCTTGTGTAAATTTGATCGTTAGCACATTGCTAAATCTCTATTTTGGAACACTTCATCATCTCTCTAAGATACAGACATGATTTAATAAAATTATAAGATATATTATGTATAGTATACAGAGTGTCTATAAAGTCTGTTACCACCTCTATATTTTGGAAACGGTTCAAAATTATGAAAAACCGTGAAATGTGTATTCGATCATTTCGAGAGGCTACTCTTTTAAGAGAGTTGGGGAGGTTGTCCTCCAAGGGGTGTTCCAACTTAAAAATTTCAAACAGAACTCTCCTCCCCCTCACCTATTGTAGCATATCATTTGAAAGGGCATGATAAAAGAAAGTTTATGATTCAATGCGGAGATTAGGCTTGTTCTTTCTGGCTGAACTTTTACACCACACACAGTTTATCTTTCTTCCTCTTCTTTCCTTCTAGAGAGAAAAAGAAGAAAGATGAACTGGTGCAAAAGTTCAGTAAAAAAGAACAGGCCTATTGATACATTGACTCGTTCGGGAGTTGTTCAGTGTCAAAGTTTGAAAAATTCTATTTATTCTTACCTTCAATATGTGTTGGATTTATTACAGTAACTGTTGAAAATAGGCACTGTTCACTTCTTGGCAGTAAAATAAAATAATCGATTCATAGTGAAGAGTAATTGGGATCCAAATCGCAAAACGTTCTATCTAAGTTAACTGCGCGAACTGTCGATGTCCAAATCATTTTCGGCCAATTTATAATATTTCCTGTTTTTCGCTGTGCGTAAGGTATGCGTTCGCGAAAATGTTATTGTACGTAAATTCCAGCGCACTTATGAGAGCGCTCTGAATCGCAAAGGATTACGGCAGCTTGTAAAGACATGTCTAAGAAAATATTTCAGAACGTAAGACAGGAATTTCATAATCGATTATTTTATTGCCAAGAAGGGAACGGTGCCCATTTTGAACAGTTATTGCAATAAATCCTACACATATTGAAGGTAAGACAAATTCTAACAAATAGAATTTTTCAAACTTTGACATTGAGTAACTCCCGAACGAGTCAATGTATCAACCTCCACATTGAATCAAAAACTTTCTATTTTTATACTTTTTCAAATGATATGCTACAATAGGAAGGTGAGGTTTCATTTGAAATTTTTAAGTTGGGACCACCCTGGGGCAACCTCCCCTTAAAAGAGTAACCTCTCGAAATGATCGAACACGTATTTCGCGATTTTTCATAATTTTGAATCGTTTCTAAAATATAGGGGTGGTAACAGATACTGCATAATAATATAAATATATCAAAGATTAACCAGAATATACGCCTTATATATACATAATTTAAAAAGAACATTGAATTGTCTTGCTTTTAACATCGATAAACTGAAAGGAATTAAAATAATCGAATTTTAAATTGATTTTATTTTAGAAGTAAAAATTGCTAATAATGTAATTAGCGTTTATACGAAAATGAATCATTATTACATAGATATAGTTACATTATGTAAATGATATGATTAATATATGTGTATTAAAGTATATCGAATTCTAAATTTTGTAGAGATACGATAGCGCTTCACATCTGATCGTTCGATAAATTCGAATAGCCTAACAATATATCCAATAACTCGATAAATTTTAGAACTTAGGAACTCATGCGCTTTAGGTTACTCGATAAGTCCAGATTACCTGCTAATCGTTTCGGATAAATTGGATTACATCGGACGCTTTCAGAGAGAGAGAGAGAGAAAGAGAGGGGGGAAGGGAGGAAAGCAAAATAAAATAAACTCCACGACAAATTAATTTTGTCGAGACGGCGAGAAACAAAATCATCGTGCTTTAAAACAACGGATTGTTTGGGATTTCGGTGAAATCGTTTTTAACATGAAAGCCGTCCGTGAAAAGTGGATGTTAAAATGGCTCGTCAAGTTGGACGGTATCTTTTTAATAAATTG